AAGCTTTCTTAGCTCTTGATTCTTTGTAGCTTTAAATAAATCTGCCCAACACACCACAGAGTGTGACTTTATCCTGCTCCACACTGTTCCTTTTGGGTTCTAACTATACCCTGTTCTCACTTCTGTAGGATTTAGTTTCGGTCCAGCCCTCAGCAGGTGCAGCTGGTTTTAGTTCATCACCACTGGACAGTGATCCAGGGAACACATCCTGTGATTAGACTGTTACCTTGTTAATGATGCCTGTAAAATGAATTAAGTTCATGAGTTTAAATTCATTTCTGAGCAGTTGGGATGAATGAAGCAGATCCTTTTGCTTTGCAATCAAGAGCAAAGCTTGCATTCACTTCAGGGTGGCCCAGACAGGATTCTCTGCCCTTAAAACTGATAACTGATGCATTTTCCAGGCTAACTAGTATTGAACCAACCCTCTGGAATGGAAGGTCGTGTAGAAATGCCTTATGGGATCACTTTTCAGGAAGAAACAGTTGCTTTTAATAACTTTTAGTTAGTAGGATTTACCTATTGCCCTATTCAAAATTAGGATGACTTCCAGAAGACAACTGCAGTTAAGGAGTATCCCCCAACTGTATTTTCATAGCAGGTATTCTTCCAGGCTGGACTGAATCTCTGCAGAGTTGGGAGTTGTGTCCATACTTACTTTATCCCATTTGGAGTGTGGGAGATGGTGTCAGCAAAGAATGGACCAAAGTGTAAAGCCCTAGTGACTCTTCAGAGCTGTGGAGAAATTTTTTGTGACCTTTACCTTTTAGATACATTTTATGCAGATGACTTAGACCACACAGTATTTCCCATTTTCATAAATGTATCTAATTTCCTTCTCTCCAAGAAGTACAAGAGAGTGAGAGATACTACTCAGAAAGGGCAGATAATGTGGGAAGAGCCACAGCTCACCTTGAGCACCGAAGTGACCACAAGTCCAGTTGCCCTGGATCCTTTTGCAGGTTAGTGAGGGTACCTAGTTGCTTACAGACAGCATTTGGGGAATTACCAGTGTGTGTTCAATCCCTACAGGTTGAACTGAGTTTTTAAGACTACTGAGGTTCTGGTCATACAGAACTTCAGCACATCCACAGTCAGTCCTCAGCAAGAGATGTGCATAAACTCAGAGCTGGACAGTGAGAGGAAGGGTTGTGCAAGGTGCTGTAATGAACATTTGTGATGAATGTGGCAGGGATTTTCTTTTCTTGAGGCTGTTGGATGCAAGTAGGATCCTATAGTTCTTTGTAGACTGGTATTTGTAAGAAACTCTAAGCATAATCATGGTCCTGTTGAAAATCTGGTTTAAATATAAATTTTCCATGCACAACGGTTGTTTTTTTTTTCAGTAGGAATATTCTAAGCAAAACTTTTTGTTCTGAACAGAGAAAGGAAAGCTTTCATTTCATTGTATTGGGAATATGCTTGAAGAAAAGAGTCTTTAAATTCATGGTGTTTCAGCCTGGCTAAATATGACTTGTGCTACTGAGGGGTTCCACACCACAGCTTCTCAAACCCTGTGCTGGATCAGGCACCTGGGAGAACACTGTTGCCTCAAGGATTGCCTATTAACTCAGCACCTTTGGACCCATTTGATCCTGACAGTAAAATAAGAGGAACATTTGCTTCTATCCATCTGGTTCATCCAGCTTCAGCCAGCACAAGTCTGGTGTTTATGGCCAAATAATTGAGGCAATATTGCCAAATAGTTAGGAAAAATGGGATATACCGCAGTGAATATCACCTCTGTTTCTGTTTAACGTCTGCCCTTCATCTCATAAAATTTGGGAGTTACTGTGAAATATAAAATTTTCTCATAGTTGAGGCTTTCTTTGTAGGTGTAGTGATTTGGTCTTTACCATAGTCCTTCTGGATACAGTTTTCCCACATTAGGAGTCGTGCTATCCTTTTCTCAGGGAGATACTCTGAGAAGAATTTCTGAGTGATTTCCCATGAAGTTAATATAAATCTATATAATATATATCTGTCTATGCCATTGGCTTCAACAGTGACAAACCATGAATGAAGTGCTCTCTGTGTGTGCACAGAGCTCCTCAGCATATGCAAATTGAGCATCTGTCTGTAATTACTACAGCACCTCATCAGGGAAGGTGTTTGAGTTCAACACTAGCATCCAGGTGCTTCTGAAGCTTGTGGTGACATTAATCCGTTATTACAGGCATCTCAAAGAAATTCCTTTATCTCGAGCTGTTATCTTAGAGACCAGAGTCCTTTCTGCTGTATAACACTTTCTCTTAGATATTAAGGATTTTTATAAAGCCATATTGTTCCATTAAAAGCCTACTTTTTGAGTGGCAGCAAGAGTGGAATAAGGAGCTTAAGTCCCAGATAAGTGCAAACGCTTTGACTGTGTTTCCAACAAGCATTTTGAGTTCCTTGTTGTGGCCATGGAAATAAAAACCTACCAACATAATGTGTTGGTGTTTTAGCTCAGATTTGAGGTTGGTTTTCCTATCAGAACCTTCCACTTACAGATCTGCCAGTCAGTTCATTTGGGAAGAGTTGTCCTTCCCAGTTTGTTTAAAAATTCAACCAAAAATCATCTATTTGTCCTTCTCCTGCAAGCACTTTGCACTTATAAATCTACACAATGTGTTCAGTCCAGCCATGTCCTGCGAGAGAGCTGTGTTCTGCTGGAATTCTGTGGATTGGCAGGGGCTGGTCTGTCCCATCCACGCCATTTCAGTGGCCCATGTGTGTGGTGTTCCACAGGGGGAGCTCTCTGGGAGAACTGGCCCTGTTTAAAACATGCTCTTTGGAGCATTTTTCAGGGTGTGGCATTAGTTCAGAGCTCCGATTTAATTAGAAAAAGACACACTCAGTTCTGATGATAATTTGTTATGATTTGGTATTTCCCATATTTGGGAAAACTTGATTCATTATTGTTTCACTCTTTATGTCTAAATTTTTCCTGAAGTGATGAAGTGCTTTTTTTGTCAAATACCCCGTCTTTATTTTTCCTTTTTATGAGGGGTTTGAACTGATTTGGGGAAAATGTTTATTTTTTCCCAGTATTTTCTTCAGCCTAGAATTTATTTATTCACCCAGTTTTTGTCAAAGGTCCTAATTAGATTTCTGTGTCTGGCTTTTAAATCCTTGGAAATTGGAATTTCTTATATCAACATTGTCATTGCTGTAGTTACAGGTCATGTGCTTTTCTATTTTCACAGAATCACTGCATTGTGATTGCCTGATCTATTCTTAAACTGTTAATAAAAAAAAGGGGGTGGGGTATCAAAGCTGTTTTGAGAGTAGCCCTGAAATAATCTCTACAGTATCTGTAGGGATATAAATAGTTAACTCTATATCTTTTTTTTTTTTTCCCCAAAAAGATGTTAATTAATTCTCAAGAGCAAAAAACATCCCTTTATAACCAGTGGGATGTGAATGAACATCACCTGTGCTCTGGTTGCAAAAACATGGTCACTCCAGGAGAACAGGATGAAATGAAACATGATGCATTTAAAATATACATTTCTGTCCTAGATGAGAAAATGGGAGTTCAGGGAGTCCCTGGAATCATTCATTCTTCTCAGTGTCACATTAAAGGGTGTTGATTCTTGTTGTAAACCCCCAAAACATGGAATGTGAGTCCCAGATAATTTTCCATCTGTGTGGAAGGCTCTTCCTGTTCTTATTTGGCTTTACTGTGTGTATAGTACCAGTGTCCAGAAGCCTTAGCTTTGATTTGTATATAGTAAATAAAAATAGCTTCTGTTTTTCTGTTCAAAGCCAGGTTGGATGGGGCTCTGAGCAGCCTGGACTGATGGAAGGTGTCCCAGCCCATGGCAGGGGGTTGGAACAAGATGAGCTTTAAGGCCCCTTCCAAACCAAACCATTCTGTGGTTCATACTTCAATCCTTAGGTAGTTCACTTGGATGAAAGGAAAGGTTTCCTTTTACTCAAAAAATTTTTTTTGTAGAGAGGAATTTTATTTGGATTTTTACTTATGCAAAACTGCCAGAAAAACTCAAATGCTTCAGTAAAATTGACTTTGCTTTGAAGATACATGTTCAAATTGTAACATCCTGGTAAAGAGAATATGTCTGTGAGAGCTCACCTTGGCTAAAAATGAGTCACAAATAAGCTGCCTTGTAAAACATCAAAGGCAATCCAGCTCTGAACAGGGTTTCTCTTTGAGAACAGTTATGAAGTTCTGTTTCCCTGAGATGCATCTGAGATGTCTTGCACTTGACGGCACAGTGGTATTCCCAAGCCTACATGTAGCTGCAATTTTCAGTGTTATTTAGCATTTTTAATACATCTTAGTTTATTGACTTCTCAAGTGCAGTTTAACACTGATCTTCTGAGATGACTCTTAGTGTTCAGACAGAAAAGAGTCTTAGTAATACTAAATCTTCAGGAACGTGTTTCTTATTTTGGGGAGGAGTGAGAGAATGGGAATATCAATAATTTTGGGAGAAGACCGTTCTGTGTTTTATGACAGACTTTTCTGCAAGTGTTCTTGTATTTTGTGTATATCCTGCTCCTGCAGTGCAGCCTCAGCTTATCAAGAATCAGACTTGAACATGTAACCTGGTTACCAGTGCATACATGATCTCCTGTAATTTGTAATTTGGTTTGAAAATAAGAAATACAAAGTTTTTCTAAGGACGTACAGTGTGCAAAGCAGTTATTTAGCCTGGAATAGCAGCAATCTGAGCTGCCTGCTAAAGAGCTGCTGTGTTCATGCTCTGCTGTCCTCTAGGCAAATGCATGGCCTGTTATTTGACTGATTTATGCAATGAAGTGGCCAGACCAGGGGTTGTTTCAGCAGAGAAGAATCTTAAACACAAGGTCCTTTTAAGGTCCTTAAGACGTGCACTCCAAACAGTAACCAGTTTTTTTAATGTTAGCATTATGCTCGGAGTTTTTGGACTGGTGAAGAAGAGATCCTTTTGGAGAAACTTTTTTCTAGTCACAGGTTTAAAGCCAAATGTGTTCACCTGCCTGATTCTGTGCCCATATTGTCTCTTTTCCAGGTCCCTCTGTACAGTCGTGTGCAAGTGGACGTACACGTCAGACAAGGGTTGGGATGACAGCTTCTGGAAAATGATTGGTTTGGAATGTTTGGTGAAGGATAAGTATGAAAAAATAGGTATATCAGGGTGTTGTTTCATACCTATGTATATTCATACTAATAAAAAGCTATATATATATAAATAGATCAGATATAAACATATATATATGGATGGGGCTTGGAACAACCTGGTCTGGTGGAAGGCGTCCCTGCCCATGGCAGGTTGTTGGCATGAGATGATCTTTAAGGTCCCTTCCAACCCAAACCATTCTGGAATTGTATGAATAATAGATATATAGATATCAAAAGATGTTTTGCTGTATAATTGTGAATGTCAGCAGAAATGTATCTGGGCTTGATGTACTTCAGATGGGCTGCTGAGAAGGCTGGATGCCCATAGGGAACAGGTTTCCTAAGTATGTTTTTTACTTTGCATTGTCATGAGGAACTGTGTTTAAATATTTTATCTTCTACCCTTTGCAAAGGCCTAAAAAGCCTTTTTTGTACAGTTCAGTCTCAACAATCTAGAAGTAAATAGGAGCCCCAGCAGTCTATTCCATGAAGGAAACACTCCGTTTGCGTATACTGGATGGCAAGCTACAAAAAAAAAGCCATAATATCATAATTTATAGCTGTTACTGATAGTGTGATTTGTGACCTGTAACCAATCTCCCTCGTAGCAATTTTCAAAAAAAGTGCTACTTCTGCTTGTTGTTATCTTTATACATTTTTTTTCACTCTCAGAGCCCAAGTTTAATTAGAATGGTAGCCTTGCTAATAGCAATTCCTACAGCAGATATTCATTTAAAGTCCATAACGTTAATACACCAGAAAATTTCCAGGATAACTTTATTAGACTTTCCCTGTTAAGTTAATGGACTTTTAATGGATGTCCTAAGCAGACATGTCATTAACAAGAATATTACCAGACATGAATTAAAATATGCTCATTCATCAAAGTTAATTATCTGAAATTTCCTTTGATTTTTTTTTTTAATGTCTGGCACTTTGAACAAGTTTCTACAGCAGTTTAAATGCAGCAACATGAAATGGAAATGGTGGAGGAAGGACTGTAGTGAAAAGAAATTTAATGGAATCTATAAAGTTTTCTGATCATCACATAATAAGCTATAAGTCATTTTCAGGTTATCTGAAAATTATGCTTGAAAGCTTCCTTGAATAGATTTCAGCTTTTCCACTGCCGCTGAAACTGCTTATGCAGAGATATAAAACTTATGAGGGGAATGAGGCTTTTTAGCTTCCTGAGGTTTGGGTTTGAATACAGTTCTTACAACATCTATCACATGTGGCTTTTAGCAAATCTTCAACAAGTTAAATTAAGACGTGCAATAGATACATGTTTTTACCAGAAAATTGAACATCTTGCCAGCTGGTGGTCTCATGGAAGAGTATTTTAAAATTAAATTATTTATGAAGTGTAAGCTAAGGCTTTAATACAATATTTATGCAATGCACTTCAAGGACAGTGCAAAGCAATTTACCATTTTAAGTAACAACATACATGTTTTAAATGATAAAGTAGCCATTAATAAAAAGGGCCTTTTGCTGTGATGGAAGCCTCATAACACTGATCTATATAAAGCTCAACATTCAGCAAGAGAAAAATCATTAATTTCCAATATCAGGCTGCCATGTTCATTAAAACACAGTGTTTACAAAATAAATCAGTAAGTTAACTTCTGTTGATAGGTGTTTCTTGCAAGATGTAAATGTTTTTGTGAGTTAATGGTGAAAGGGTTTAGTTCCTTGGAAAATTGTGTTGATTTTCAAGAAATGAACACAGTATCCCTGGATGAGTTTTGGCTGGAATTGGAGAAGCACAATCTGACCTTCAAACCGTAGGGCAGAACTTGAAGTTCCTGCAGAGCAAACACTTGTGCTCACCTTGAGAAATCCTTTGGTTTTCACATTCTGGGACTGATTCCCTCAGGTATATCCAAAGCATAGGACAGTTTCTGTTTTGCATAATAATGCTGAAACCCAGCCTTAGGGAGAATATGTGCTCGTTTCCCTGACCATTTGTCTAACCTTGCCTTTTTTACAAAGGAAGATGTTGCATTCATTATGTTTAGCTGTGTGATAAAATCACAAAATAGCAGGAGAGTGTCCTTCGTTCCTGTGTCTGTGAAGAGGGAGTGAGGAGCTCCCTGCACCAATGTGGGAACCAGTTAGCAACCACTTCATTCCTTTATCTCCTACACTGCACCTGCTGGAGTCTCTTGGAAGGGTTTGGCTTCAGAAGGAAAACAAAGCACCTCACTCCCTACCCAGAAGCTGCTCCACAGTGTTGTGTGCTGTGGATGGGCTTTGCTTTCTGCCACCCCATATCTTACCAGTGTCCCTGAACGTGGGGAAATGGGAACGGTGACTTTGTTCCAACGAAAGTTTGGGGAATTTGATTTATTTTAATGAGTGTTCAGTGTTAGATGTGGGAAGAGCACTGTAAATCAGCTCAGCTTTCCTCTGCTGAATTTAAATCAATCAGGTCAATGTAGATCCACCTACTAGGGAAGTGATATCGAGCACTGGCCAAACTGCAGCTGGAATGGTCTTGGTTAGTGGAAGATTCCTTCCTACAGATCCCACAGTGTTGACATTGGTGGTGAGGCACCATCCCTGCACAGACCTCCTGCCAGGAGCCCTCAAGTGCCACAGGGCCACACCTTGCACAAACTCAACTCAAGGTGTATTTATAATATTGCTCCAGGGTTCTGCCCCATAAGGGAATGGGCTCAGCTGCTGGAACTGCAGCCTGTCACCCAAAAGGAGGGAATTTGTGTGAGTACCTCATGTGGACAGTGTGTGCTTCCAGGAGGCACATCAGAACTCACTCCAGCTGACAGGGAGGAATTTGAAGCAGTGGGTTTAGCTGGGTTGTGGATTAAGGAACTCGAGCTTGTCAGATAACCCAGGTAGGAGTAGGTTGAAGGGAGATTGTACATGCTCAAACTCTCCTCCTAAAATGAAAACAAAACCAAAAACCTGACAGGTCTGAAGTCATTCTAGTGGAATTTCCTTTTCTGTTCTCAAGCTTGTCTAAGTCCGTGTCTGTCTGCTGAAGGTTTGTTTAGCTCAAATACAAGGATGTATTTTAGTGCCTGCACGTTCCCCTTGCAAAGAGAGATAATGGCATTTTTCTCATGTATCTCTCCTAAAAGATTAGCAGGCTTTGAATCATCATTTCTTTCTAACCAAAGCAAAATGTCTCAAGATAAAATTAGCAAAAATTTCTTACTGTAACAAAAGTAAATACAGAGTTTTCCAGTTTCAAAGAGGCAGAAAAGACTTCTTTTTTTTTTACTCTCTAGTGAAATCATGACTGTTTCCAATCAGAGGGAACTATAGATCAAAAGTTACCACTAGATTTGTTTTTTGGAAGTAGCTTTAAATTTCATGCCATTGGAAATACTTACGGATATTACCTGAGAACAACTTCTTTAGTGGACATATTTCTTTATGCTGATAAATACACTTTTAAACATCACTTTTTAAACTTCTTTCCCTTTGAAAATATATTTACTGTAATCAGAGTGGTGCTTGTGGTTCCAGGGAGTACACTCCTCCTGGTTTCAGTTTCACTTAACATATGACCTTGTTGATAAGGGAGAGCCTCACATCTGACCTTTAGGATCTTTCCCACATCAAGGCATGGGTTCACATCTGAAAATCCCCAGGCCTTTGACTTTTCATGTTTCTCAGAGCAGACCAGCCTTTCAGGGAATCCACACAAGTTGTTTGTGCTCCCTTCTGTACATTGTGAATTTACTGATAAAGTTTGTGAAGGTAAAGTGTCTTATGTGGAGATACTACAAAATTTATTGATCCCATTAATTTGCCCAACAAGAATAGAAGATGACTTTTGTTCAAAACCACTCTGAAAGTGTTGTGTACTACAGGCATTAGCATTTATCTGCTGTCGTGGAAGCACATGATGAGTATCTCTTTGTGGTATTATAAAACCTAGAAAGACATTAACAATTCTGTTAAAATTTCATGTCCTATAGACCTCTTTGGGTATTGGAGCGTACATTCCATTTGGAGGAAAATGCCTGATAAATTTTCACCACAGCCTTCTACTTCAGGGGCTACTTAAGGGATCAAATAATGATTTTTTTTTATGGAATGGTAATATTTTATACCGTGTCTTTTTTGGGTCGAAGATGTTGAGCATTGCAGGTACTGCAGAATAGGTGTTACTGAGCTAGTTGGGATTTACTTTACAGCCCCAGCACTTTGCAACTGTAACTCTTCCCTTAATTCCAGGAATTTGGGGACTGCAGGCTTGGTATTTTCATGTTCCTGGACACTTTTGAATGTCCTGAAAAGAAGGATCTATATAACTGGGAGACTAGATGTTCTTTTCTAATGCTCTTTCATTTGTAGTACTTATTAATAAATTGATAATACAGAAAACATGTTATTTCTAGGAATAGTTATATTCCTGCATGTCCCACTGTCTCCTTCCATATACAAAGCTAAGAATGGTACTGTATATCTCACTTTTTACACTTAAATAGAGTCTGCTTAGGTTTTGTCTTTTGTCAGAAGTGGTCAGTTTTAATACTTGAAAGTTCTGTTCATTTATTTGCATTTAGGCTGAAAATGGGAGATTGAGTCTGGGGTGAGAGAATTAAATAAGTATTAACTTAATGCTGCAGCAGCTGTGAAGGGAATGGTCAGTCCATTTGTTCTGCCAGTTTTCTATCTCTTCCAAGGCCTTTGATGCCAGATGCTCTGGAGTATATGAGGGATTTCCTTGAAGGCTGAGAGAAAAGGATGATAATTTTTTTTTTCAAGTCAGATTGTAGCTACCAGTTCTTCATAAACCTGGATTACAGCAAGAAGCTTTAAAATACTCTGCAAATAGTAGAGAATAATAGGTAAAGGGATTCTCTTAAGTATGAGATACCTTTATCTGTCTTTCTTTGGTCTTTTGCTCTCCCCAGTAAATTACAACACATTACAATTTCAAACAAAATTGAAAGGATGAATCAGAGGATATTTACACTTACATGCTGTCAAAATCCATGGAATTTACAAGTGAAGAGTGTTCCAAA